GTATGTTTATGTGGACTGTGATCTATATCAGTATAGCATAACGTTATGTGTATTTTATAACGAAACCCCTGTAGGAGAAGTGACTTAAAGAGTAAACTTTTAACAATAAATTTGTCCTATAACATCATTTTAAATTTTAAACCATTTAAAAGAAAAATACAGAAACAGCAGCTGACCTTATACCTTTGAATGTAATTCTCGAAATTTTGAGATAGGTAATTTAATATATGTACCTAAAAAAATTGAACACTTTTATAAGTTTATATTTCTAGGCAACAATCAAAGGCATTTTTCAAACCTGAATTCCACCATCTTGGCTCCACATGTATATCCTTTGTCGTCATTGATATTTTTATACAGAAATATATTCTTGATTTCAGTTTAATCTGATAACATCACAGCAAGTTACATTACAGCCCGGAGCTAATTCTAATGAATTCATTGAATTAAATGTCAATCATAAGCAAATATATGTATATCATATACATATTTTTGTGCAACTTATTCGCAATTACTCCACATGGTGCATTTTCGCAGCTCCTTTGTTTTCTTTATGTATTCTGCGTTAAAAACATGTGACATAAACTTCTGTCCCAGCACTATGAATCTGACTCAAAATAAAAACGTTTGTCTAAACCAGACTTTCCCAAAAATGGACAAAATAGTTCATTGAAATTTTGAATTTCATTTAATCATGTTTCAATTCGGCATTTTGTCAATATTTAATGACTATTGAGAAATGACTGACTCCATAAAATGAGCGTTGATTCTGCGAAAGGACATGTCTATTTGATATTTAATGTCTTTGCTGTAACCAAAATATTACACATTGTAGTGTCGTTTTTCTGTTCCCAGAAACTATATAGCAAGTCCAAGGTTTTCTAATAACTAGACACCAGTATGATTTTAATTTGAATTACATCTTTTTCAGCTAACCAAAATAAAACTTGCTGTTCTAGGGACAGCTCCAGCACCAGTGTTCCTGTTGACAGCACCACTAGCTCAGATCTGTTGTTCTAAAGGTACCAAGCCCACTCGTTAAAGCTATTATGTTGTTAGCGACAATTTTCAGCATCACTTAAATCATCAATATATTCCTAAAAGATTGATGATATTCAATTTCTTTGGAAGAAGTGCTTAAACTTTTTGTGACTTTACTCCAAAGAACTCTTGTTTTGGTAACTTTTTATTTTTGTGTTTTTCAAGAGGTTTTTTCTTTAACTGATTTATATGTGTCCTCTGTTAGAAAGAGAACAAATATTAAAGAAGCTACATCCAGTTCGAATAAGTCCTGAGCTTAAAACCCAGTATACACTTGTATACAGATTAAAGGTTGCGGTTCACATTTATGCAAATGATTATTATCTTTCAAAATTGATGTGTTGTCTGTTTTGTTACTCAAATGTATCATTACTATTTATGTGAGAAAGTTGGAACATGTTTCATATAAATCACACTTAGAAAAAACCAAGAGCCTGCAGCATATGCTTTTGCTGTAGATTAACAAAATAAAGAGATGCACTTTAACTAATTAATTATTTTATTTATGTTAACTTAGTTATATATACTTTGGGAAAATAGACAAGCACATGTAATTGTTTTCACAGAATATGAGAGTTTATTGCCCAATGTCTAATACTAAAAGTACATATGCTTGATTTTGTATGATATACATACAATGAACAGGGCTAAGTTGAACCATTTCTTAAGTCAAATAATATTTTCCTTCAGGTTTGGAGGGTCAAAATCATATCATGTTGACATGTTCATTCAAATTTTGGAGAGACAAAGCAAAACAATACTTATCGAGGATCAACTTAAAGTCCTGCAGTAAGTGAATGGATGTTTATTCATGACTTTCCTTGCACACATTACATGTACATTGTACTGATTGTGTTTTTACAACTGAATAAAAACTTCAAAATGAAAATATAGCTGTTTTTTTTATTACTCACAGGTGACATGTAACACACATGAGTGGTGATGTACAAATTGAATTATAATTCAATGTTAACTCTGATAAAAATGAACTGGTTATTTGATTTAAAAGTCAATTCTTCTGGTGTGGAATTTTGTATTAAACTTGTAAGGCTTTGAAGCATATTAATTTGCATACATCTGATGAAACACTCTTCTGCTGTTGGTTTGTGTTAATTTTTTGACAGTCTGGACCCTTTTTTCCTCTTCGGCATGCTGAAATTAGAAAAGATACATCAATCAAGTCAGATTGACAAAATCCATGTCAAATTTGGGAATCAAACCACAGCTGTCCTGTTCAATATCTGCCAATTGGCTGGTACATTTTGATTTGAAAATGTCCACCCCTGTGTGGAAGTGGGATGTACCATGTAATGACTAGCTGTCAATCAGCCTCATTATCACCCCTGTGTGCATGTGTATCTGCATGGGCACCTTTCAAAATTGAAAACTATCTGTATTGCTTGCAAATTAAGACAAAGAATGGATATTACAGTTGTCTGACATACTTCTTACTCAGAACAATTGTTCACATTCATCACTGTTATTATTTCATTTTTCTGACAGCCATGCATAATTTTAGACAGAACTACAATTTATTTTGTGTGTAGACACAAGATTATATAATTATCTTACATTACAATCCATGGCGTAGAACATGTAAAGGTATACTTGTTTAAGTCACGGAATTGGCCAATTGCTCTCTAAATCTGTCTTTTAATCAAAGAGACTGCAAGATCGGACCTGTGTTATTTTATCTGCGACTTTTGAAAAAGCTCCAGCTTAAATTAATTAACTCAATAAACCATATAACTTTTAATATCCCTTCACTAACACTTTCGCAATACAACTTTGGCTGTACTAATATGTTAATAGATAATTCTGTATCTATCAATATCTATTTTCCAGTGGATAGCCGTAGCCTAGTGAATCAATACGTAGGAAACTATAAAAACAATTTAACACTGGCCTTGTTATTCAACAATTTGAAAAATAATAAATTTAATCAAAAAGTACAATTCATCATTGAGAATAATAGGGATTTGTCAACACGCAGACAGGCCTTTGAATTTAGGCATTCATGCATATGGCGGCCATTACTAAAAATACACTGATTAACAACCGTTTTCAGAAATTAAATACTACAAAATCAGAGATATGGGTTCACTTACAACCACATGTTGCAATAGAAAACAAATAAAAAACAATAATGTTTAGTCCGTATGTCAAAATAATCTATTTATTAGCAAGAAAACTAGACGTTGATGGCGGGTGTGAAGCCATAAAATAATTCAAGTTGGCAACGCTGTATGTTCACTATAAACTTTCGCATTCTGCGACATTTCTCTGGTATTCGACACAACAAACATTATTAAATTTAAACAGAAGTATAGCATAGATCACTTACTTTGAACTCCGGACAATGTAACGGTCCAGCATACCCCAGAATGTATCACTTCTGAACGGCAATCAATTTCTTTGATGATTGAAGCGGCGGGTTTTCCCAAATCACGTAAATACTCGCACTTTCTCGCACTTTCTCGCAACATCAAAGTGCCCTAGACATATTATATCATGGATTTCAAAATTAATTATACGCTGGCAAAATAAATATCATTGGATGGAATTTCGTTATAATCTATTATAAAATTACTGGTAATTAATGACCTGCTGGAGAAAACACTGTTAATCGTGTAACAAGTATTTAAATCTCAAATAGTGACTTTACTCAAAAAAATAATCTGTGTGTGTTACAATTTACGTTCTATACTTGTGTGGCAGGATTGAATTTTATCACATTTATTTGTAATGTTGTATAATAATTGTTGTATAATTATATGTCCGGTAAAGAGGTCAGTAGTGTGACGTCAGTATATATCTATTATCTGACCGGCTATTGGGGTGGCGCGCGATACCTTTGTATGACTAGGTAGACGAGAGAGCGACGACAACGACAACTGACAAGATTATAAGTGAGGTATAAACTCGATTTCTCGATTTACAAACTAATCTGTCGATCTTTTCTATTTGTCCTTTCCCCTGTCCGGCGTGCGATATTTCCCGCGAGCAGTATCTGATATTATTTGTACGGTATTTTAAATAAAACATGTATGTGTGCGTACGCTGGGTTTACCTGAGTGACCGCCATTACACCGACCGGTATGATTGTGTTTATATTCCATATCTTATTATTTGTATGGTTTATGTTTACAGACTTGAATGTGTGTACAGACTAATACATGAGCTGGGCATATTGTAAAGCCTTCTGCCACACAGAGGTGATTATTTCAGTATAAGTCCTACAAATCCCAATATGTATATATCCTTTTGAATGTCCCGTAAAAGTGTACGTCCGTAAATAGTTTTCATCATTTATGAGTAACTTCAAAAGTAAATGCCAAAAGGCCATACACTTATGATATAATATATGTGTAAAAGTAAATTGTAATCCATATTGTAACTAATAGATAAGGAAATAGTAAACGTCCTATTTACAATTCATTATTTGTTATCATATAATCCCCGGTTAAACGTACTTATTTTACATGTAAGTATTAATTGTCAGTTGTACTCGTATCTGTTATATATGTATCGATAGCGTTATGTGTATGTGTAGTAAAGTATTGTATGTTTGTATCGTTGCAGGGTAATATCTACCTACAATAAATCACTGGTTCGGTATAAAAACGTCGAGCTTGGGTTGTTTATTCAACCCCGAATACCCCTTGGCTCCACTTGTATCCAAGATAATATGCATTTGTAAGGCTTGGTAAAACATAGATTAAGGACGTAAAGCCCTATCAGTAAATCAAAGGACTTCTCTTTGACCTTGCAATATCGAAGTCTGTACGTGGTAACCCATCGTCGCCGATATCTCAGTAGCCACGATCAATTTGTATCAATCATTTAGAAAACGTAGCTGCACCCCAAGTATGGCAACACTGGTATGCATCTGCCCTTCTCTGGCTTCCAACGGTTAGGTTACACCTATCGGCTTCCGTACAACGCTCCATGATGCGCCGCTGTGTGACGCCTAATAACTTTCCGAGCACATTGAGGTCAATCAAGCCTGTGCATGCACGTGGTTACGATGATCACATACGTCATGTGTGGTGTTACATGAGACTGAACGGCGGCTAATTTTTTTATGTTATTAATGAAAACATGTTTACAGTGATACGCGTTTAATTGTCAACGGTGATATTTGTATTAACCAAGGTCAGGAACGCTGTAACACGGGTACCTATTATAGTGGGTTTTGGTGTACACGTGACCGTTTGACCACTTTCATAGTTTACGATAAAGGGATTTGTGAAGATGAGGACACTTAAGAATAGACACATGAAATTATGTGCTATGTTCGTATTGTCATTGGTGATAGTATCTTGGATGTATATTCATCGGAACGCCGACTACATGAATTGTCCTTGTCCAGGTAAGTACTTTCACCTGTTATTTTATAACATTATTACAGAGCAGGTTTAGAAGTGCATTCCGAAGGTCTACACGGCCAGAGCGACGTGATCTTGTGCCCGCCACTCCTGCATTGTGGTTTATTCCGGTTTGTGGATTGTTTTTGTGGTTCCTCGAACAGAGCAGGTTAATATTATGCAAATTTAGATGCTCTGATATGAAATTTCCCATTTGAACGGGTAGAAAGCACAATATTCACAAACGAGACCGAAAATGTAATATAGGTCATACTGGACAGGTAGGTTAGGTATTAAGATTGGGTAACTACCGAAGTGAGGTACATCTATACATTCATATTTATTTTAAAATAGATTTTCAAAATCTTCAGTAACAAATTCCAGATTATCGTTTAGCAAGATTTCATGCAAATTAATTGCAAGAAAAGAACAAAAAGGCACAAGGCTGCATCACTCACCTGGTACATATATTTATTATGAAAAATTTATAGTGTGGTCCTGGCTCCTGTGTAAGTTTATATATTGTTCACTATTGCAGTTTCTTTGTTGTTTTGTTTTATGCCTTCAAGTTACTCTGTAACTATAAATGAGCAACACAATTATTGGATTGAATTGAAATAAAATCATAACGAATTTCTCACCAGACACGATTTCTCACTCCCGCACGCGGGAGGTGTAGGATTACCCATGTCATGAGTACGAAAATAAGTCTTAATACACCACGATTGCCCAAAATCAATGACAATGGTTGTACTCACAGGGACCTGAGAATGTGTTACAGCTATATTTGGACCGAAACTAAGGTGTTCAGAGTAATTTTACATGTTTTAGGGATCTACACCCCTAATACGTGTAACATTACTATGAACACCTTAGTTTAGGTCCAAATATAGCTGTAACACATTCTCAGGTCCCTGTGAGTACCACCATTGCAATTGATTTTGGGCAATTGTGGTATATCAAGACTTATTTATAAGTTTTTAAACCAATACGCAGACAATAATGATATCCGAGTGTTCCTTACAGACCCAAATCATGGCTTCTCATTAGCTGAGACATATATCGGGCTAAAATAATTCCTTTTCTGTTATATGGACTACAATTTTATCAGGTATGATCATGAAATATTTTGATAGTGTTCAAACAATCAAAGGGATTGGGCACAAAATCTAACAACATCATGATAATAGGAAATTTCATAATTAGTTTGTAACAGCAGACGTGATTTCGTGAATGCAAGTAAATGAAAATTGTTGTTCAATTAAATTAAACGCCCCACCCACATACACATCAATAATTATTATACCATATCACTATAACTTATTTATTATATTGTCGGTTGACCTCATATATACACGCATGCGCCTATCTGCTCACAAACTTCGTATAGACACTGGAAGGTATAGAAATAACAAAGAGAGGTGAAATACTCTGTACAAATTGTGGGATGATGGTGGTAGAGGATAAGCCCCATTTTTCTTTATATTTACGAAATACAATGCAATCAGGAAACATGTTTGTATGTTTTTTAGATCCTCTATGACAAAGCCAGTCGAATGTTTCATCTGCTCAAATGTTCAGCAATTTTTTATGAGGTAAATATGTTAAATCGGCGGATATTAAAACAAAGAATTGTTTCAAATTAAACCTCTGCATTCAGATGTGATCATGAAGGTTAACTAAATATTTACGTATTAATAATAATATGTATTCATATATATTTGATGAACTTAAGACAGCATGTAAGCCTGAAGGGAGACAACTGTCACAAAACCCACAGAAATAATGTGAAAGGTAGCCTACAGCCTTAACTCTAATACAAAACTTGTTCATTTATAATTTTACTCTTCAGTTTAATGGAGATTTCCTATGTTCACTGTTATATAACATGAAATTATGCACATAACTTATTCATCGAAGGTATATATAACCGTTATAAGAGACGTATCTAGAAAAAAAATATTTATTAGGTAACGGGGCATAGCCGCGCGGGACATCGAATTTCGACTTGAATAGCTGTCACAGAAACATGCAAATTTGTCCACAGAAGATATTTTAATTGTATACATGCAATCATAAAGATTTTAATCCAACTTTTTCCTTGACGTTTTATCTAAAATAGCTGCGCTGGGCATTGTATTTCGACTTGAATGGCTGTCACAGAAACATGCAAATTTGTCCACCGAAGATATTTTAATTGTATGCATGCAATCATAAAGACTTTAATCCAATTTTCTCCTTGACGTTTTATTTAAAATAGCCGCGCTGGGCATTTCATTTCGACTTGAATGGCTCTCACAGAAACATGTATTTGTCAACAGAAGAAGTTTAATTGGATATAATATGCTAAAAAACCCCATGAATATTAAATACAATAACAACAAAACACATTTCTAAGGGTATATTTCACTATAAATAGAAATAGTCAGATTTGAAAGTTAGTGACAAATATGTTCTTGTTTTTATTATAAATTGATCTTAAATATTTGTTAGTAAGTGACAGATATGTTCTTGTTTTTATTATAAATTGAACTTTTATAATAAGGCCAAATGTGTTTTGAAACTGAGATATTTAGTCAGAGGAATCATATATGAATGTAAATACCTGTACATAATAAACACTTGTTAAGACCGGAGCCTCACGCCTATCAGAGAAATCATTAATTACATAGTTTTTCGTAAAAACTCAAATGAAAAGAAAAGTAAACATGTGTAGCTATTTTTGGACATCTGGACAAAACACTATTGAATGACAGGCAAGTGTCATACGCTATTAGTCGGCTTGACCACAGAAAGAAACAAGAGTTATTCAAGTCGGGTTGTTTACCAACATGACAGGCTGACCAGGTGTTAGACACGTCAACACATCGCACATGCGTAAACTGAGTTGTATGCACTTATCCCTAACTGGGACACCTTGGTTGGACGAGCGGCCAGAGAGGTTATTTATATGTCTCGGGCCAGAATTCACTCTATGCCCAGACATTTTTTTCAATTCAATATTACCAAATGCACATTGCATATAGGCGTACAGAAATATACATATAGATAAATATTTTACAAATATCTTGTACAATGGCGGAGAACATATGCAATAGATTCAATTCCATACATAATAATTAAAAATTCATGAAATAGTCATAAGTTGGGGAACACTTTAAGGTTTTCCTAAGGTAACTTAACGGACTCTTATGAAGCATAATTTAGTTGTTTATGAAATAATACAAATAAAGCCTTAATCCAACCAAATTTCTAGGAAAGAACAAAACTTCAAAGTAAATCATACAACCTCAACATGAAGGTAGAACGAATATTAAATATTATATAATGAAATTAGGTTATAACTCATTGTTAAGTAAAAGACATAGATCTCAATCGCATTATACAGTAACAAAACGTTTATAGCAAGACTTGTATACAGCTTATATATCATAATATACGACTTTTCTTAACAGTTGCTTGAATCAAGCACTTACTTAAATTTCTAATAAGTTTATTTTTTTGCTAGACAGTAGCTCTATTAATTTAAACACAGAAGGACGAATACGATAATATGGCTTGATATACGATACTCTTAATTCTAAAAATACAGGACACATAAGAATGAAATGAAACTCATTCTCGACATCGCCAAGATCGATCCCATAAAGTACACAATCTCTTGTTTCGAGGCACTGCATTATATATACCTGTCTCTATGTTAAGTTTATGTGCTTGCGATCTATATTTCGCAAGAATACATTCATTTTTTTTCTAAATAGCGGTTTTGTAAAATAACAATATAGATCAAAACGGTCAACAATGTGTTTATTCAACAAACATTTTGAAGATGTCTCGAATATGTTTCTCATTTCCTGAATAAAAGTATCCTTTATGCGTTGTTTATATAATAAAAAAATTTATTCTCATTTGGTACACATTGTGCCAACCACACATCTCCAAAACCAACGTACACAAATCACGTCCCAGATGATAAACCAAATTTGCTTTACAATTTGGTTTCCTGTTATGAAGCTCTTAAAGTTCATCGTAACAGGCCTTCAAAATACAGTTACCAGTCTTTAGTATTTGCAGCAAGTACTTTACAATAGCAATCCTACGCTGTATATGCAAAGGGTAACGACCAAGTTCAAAATCCTGACACCAAACAAGGTTTTCAAAAATAATAAATGCATATTTTCAATTTGCGGTGCAAGACTATAACCCCGTACTTCACATCCGTAATACACAATACATGATATATAAGTATCAAATAAAGATAACTTAGTCTTTTCATTCAACAAAAATCTTTTCCCTTTCGTATTAAGAAGAAAATAAGCTTTCCTTCCTTGTAAAGCAATGTTGTTCAATGCAATGGTAAATTTACCATTATAATTAAAAACCAAACCTAAATAGCAAAATTGATCTACCACTTCTATAGCTTTACCATCAAAAATCACTGCTCGTTTGGATACAATCGTTTACTTTTCCTAAAACCAACTATTTTTGTTTTGTCTACATTTACAGATAAATTCCAACGTCGAGAATAAGTGATTAAATAATCCGACATATTTTGGAGGTCAACTGCATCCTCAAAAAATATACCGTGTCACCGGTTTACATGATTAAAAACAAATTAAGTAATTGCAAGTGATAACTTTGGCAATTTGACTTAATCAATTCGGATTACATTTTGTCGACAAATAAAGAAAACATTATTGGAGATAAGTATTCTCCTTGTAATAATCCGACCTGTAAGTCGTACATAGGAGATAATTTATCATGAAGCTTTACACATGACTTAACACTCTCGTATATAGATTTGATAACATTAAGCATCCGTCCTCTTACACCCGATTTCCACAATTTATACCACAATTTATCATTTGATATACTATCAAGCGCTTTTCTATAGTCTACGAAAACACAATAAAGCCTTTTATTACTCTTTAAAGTTTTAATAATCAAGGTATTAAGTACAATAATAAACAACTTCAACTTAGCCTCTGCTGTTTGTTATTCAAAT